AAAAGTACTCATGACTCAGTCCTAGGATGCTTTTAGGTCAAAGACAGAGCTCTTTAGAGTTTTCAGTTTCATGTTCCTCTTCCTCCTACTTTTCTCTTCTGTTCTCACACTGTTGCAGAAAGTCTGTGGAGCCACGTAGGACTCACTTTCTCCTGCAGCTGAACACCAGCCCACCTTTCTGCTATACAGGCCTGTTCTTTTAACACTTTTTTATAAGACATGTTTGAAAAGTTGGGCAGCTCCTGAAGAAATTATTCTATGCTTTTCTTTGTCTCCTCTTTACTGGATTTGAAATTAATATGGCTAAGCAATATGAAATTTATTGATGGAAAACAAGAAAACAATATAGACCAAGAAGGTTAAGACAATCTTGACTTTAGAAAAGCTGTCTCATAAACAAGGAGACATCTTTTTCTTGTCAATAAGCACCAAATTAGTCCTGAAGGCAAAGCATATAGACAGGGTTGCATTAAGATTGGTATTGTAAGAGTGACGTTCAATGTACAAATGAGGAAAATAACTTGCTCATTAAATCAAACAATCTCTCTAGTAAGATGCCCTGCTGGGTTTAGTTGGGGTAGAGTTAATTTTCTTCTTAACAGTGTCTGGTATAGTTTTGTGTTTTGGATTTGTGCTCAAAACTGTTTATAATATAGAGATATTTTTTTTATTGCTGAGCAGGATTTACACAGGACCAAGGCCTTTTTGCAATGTCAAGTTGACAAGGAAGTTGGGAATGAATGGGAAGTTGAGAAGAGACTCAGCTGACCCCAAGTGACCCAAGGAGTATTCAGATCACATGACATCATACTCAATATATAAAATAGGGGGAAGAAGGAGGAAGGAGGGGATGTTTGAAGCGATGGCATTTGTCTTCCCAAGTCACCATTATGCATGATGGGGCCCTGTTCTTTTAGAAATGTCTGAACACTTGCCTACCTAGGAAGAAATGAAATAATTTCTTGGTTTGCTTTACTTTGTTTGTGTGGGTGGCTTTTGCTTTTCTTGTTAAATTGTCTTTATCTCAACCCATGAGTTTTCTAGCTCTTGCTCTTTCTTGCCACAGAATCTCCCTGATTCTGTTGATGCAGGACTGAGCAAGCAGCTGCAAGGTACTTGGTTTCTGGCTGGGTTAAACCATGACAGATGCACAGATATCTCTCTTAAATTTTGAGAAAACACTTTTAAGATGGACAAGCAGTAGCCATAGTACATCTAACATCGATATTTTTCCTGTGTGATGTAAAAAAATAATTACAGGAAAACTGTTGTTTGATATTGTCCTTCCATAGATCTCAAGATACTTTGCACCATGAAAAATTCTGTCACAGTGGGGAAACTATGGTACAGCAGGGATTCAATGTCAAAATCACACGCAGGGCAGGATCAGGACTGCAAGCAGCCTCTAAAAGGAAATGAAGGTGGAGTCTGACTGAATGGACAATGTGATATTGCACACATTATATTGTTCTTGAATCTTTACAAAGAAGAAGAAATAAGCAAACATAGAATGAAAAAAATTGTTATACTTCTAGATTTTGAAATGCTTCACTTTCCATATTGTATAAAGAAGGAAATGTCCACAACTTCAACAATGATCTCCTCAAAGTTGGAGACATGAATGCCAAACTGACACAAAATAATTGAATCCAGATAATGCAAGCACAAACCCAAAAAACAGACTTGTGTACATGATTATAAACTAACCTTTTTCTGAGGTTCACAGCCATAGTAACAACTTGTTGAGAATTAAACAGACTAACCAAAAAGTTAGCACAGGAGCCACAATAGAGCCATTATTCAACATTGTCAGACACTGCAGCACACCTATAACTGTTAAGGCTTTCCATTTAGGGTTTCGTGGACAGACTAAGAATAAAGTACTGCCAGTGTTTGACAGGCCACAGAACCTAAACCAGTGATCCCCCCTAGTAGTAGTTCCAAGCATACATCACAAGGGGAATACTGGAAAGAAACCTAACAATTTTAATACAGTATTGCCTCAATAAGTCTTTTCTCTGTGGAGAACAGCATTGATGGATGGGTAGAAATAGCCAGGCTCAGTAAGCCCATTGCTACAGTGAAGGCTCATGAGTCACTGGTTCCCTGGAGGTTCCTTGAGATAATACAGGGACAGTTTGTCACTTTAGGATAGAAGAGACCAGATGGCACAATAGCACATTTCCAGCAGTGCTCTAATCACTGTGCAAAATACTTGTTTCAAAACAGAAGTGCCGCGATGTTGCTAGGAATACATATTCTACTGGTAGAACAGTCAAACATCAGCATCTTGTTTTTTCTTGCCTGTTCTTCCCTCCTAAATTTCTTTAGAGTTTTGATAGTATTTACAGATAATTGTTATCTCCCTAAGGAATCATGGATTCAATACTCCTCCTTTTTTCCCCATGTCTCCTGACTCACATAAAACAGGTCTTACACTAGACTGTCTGCCTGCTTAAAACTCAACATACACATAAAGGACTTTGAAATAGGGTCAGGATTCAAAGCATCTTGTAGGATTAATCATCTGTTTTATAATATCAAAACCTTTTTTCTATACATTAAAATCCTTAGCTATCTAGGTCAGAAAAGCTTTTTATGTTCTGATTTCCTGCTGAACACCACCACCACAGTACAGCTGTGAGGATTTAAATTCCTGTTTTACAAAGTAAAGATGGAGTTATCAGTGCAGTGAGTTGTTCCAGTATGACTGCACTGTCTCCAAGCTCTTGCAAGTAGTGTTTGACAGTGCTTAAAAGACTATACACTACTCAAAACCTGGAAGTTAGAAATGGAGCTTCCTATAAAATCTTCTTGATTATGAAAGAGTACAATTTGACTCAATGTTGTCCGATTTAAGGACATAGACTGGATTTAATGATGTGACTACTGTTAGACAATAGGGGACAAATAACTATGATTCAAAAGAAAACAAATTCTGTAACCACACACAGCTCATGAGTTTGAGTAGACCCAAATATAACACAAATCCAGGGATACTGGACCTTCTTAAAGTTCGGCTATTCTGAGGTACACATTCCACATGGTGTCCCCATGCTCTTCAGGGAAATACTTATGTACAATTGTGACTGAACAAATGACTTCACATGATATAATTTTGTTATCATCTGTCTTAGAATTTAAAAATATCCAAGATATTCCATTAAATTCCTTGCAAAAAAATGGTGCTAAATTGTTCTCGTTAAGAATGTCAACATGAGGAAAAGGATAGCAAAATATCTATTTGCGATATTTAGATATTGCTATTGATGTTGTCAAGTCACATATTTGTTTTTGGCAGGTTACACATCACTCACTAATAGCAGTCCTTTTTATACAAGAAATCAGTTGGAATGGGGTAGGATATATAGTCCACTGCGTCTGAGCACTTTTAATACAAAAATTAAATCCTTTTAAAGAAATCTGAGATGCCTTAAAAAGAATTTAGCCAGAAAAATTCAGACTTAACATCTTGCTTAAAAATTCAGCTATTTGTAAAAATAGAAACATCTAGCAGAAGACACCCTTGGTCATGCTAAAAAAGCTCTGGAAACAAATTTCTATTTAAATTTTCCTAGGTTTCTGCTAGTTTGTTCCTGAGTTCTCCTACTAGTTTACAGTGCCCTTCCTTACAGTCTGATTCTGAAGAATTTGAAAGTTTCTGTTTCCAGAAACAGACACAGACTGCTGTGTAGGTGGCTGTCCCGCTTTCTTTTGGGGAGAATGCTAAATTTACAGGTTTGCAAGGAGAATGAAGAAAAAAATAAGGTTTGAAATTACAGAAAGTTTTGGAAATGTCAAAGTATTTTGACCAACGACTTTAAATTTCCCAACTCATTTCTACTAGGAAGTTAATAATTTCCTTTTTGTTCACATTAATGGGAGAAGACAAAATTTAAATGAGTATATAGGATAAAAATTTTCCCTCTAATCATCTGTTTATATGGCACCATAACAAAGATGTTTAAAACCTTTCAATAATGTGGAAATAATGGGTAATCTCAAACAATACTGGAACAAATGCAGTGAATGAGACAGAAAATACATTGAAATATAGGGAATAAATACACTCTGAATACTATAATACTTGCTGTTCTTCCTCTGAAAATTCAGTAGGTAGAAACCCAAAAAAATTCCCACCTCAAGACTGTTTTCAATGTGCATTTCTATGGATACATATGTCATAGAAAACTTGTCTTATATTTCATAGATGTATGTATACATATTTATGCATGTTACCAGCAAAATAAGGTTTGATTAAATTAAATTTGTCTTAGAGCATCACAGTATGGATTGATAGCTTAGTGTTTTATGCAAATGGCAAGATTTCATTTGGAATATATGTAAACAGGTTTTTAATAATTCTGATAAAAAAATCCCAGATGCATCAGTACAATATTTCTGATATTGTTTTAGTTTTCTTAATAAAAGAACTGAGTCCGCTATGACTGTTTATAGGTCAACCAAACACCTACACCCAAACAAAGAAATAAGCTGTGGTGGACATCATAGTCTACAAACATAAAGGTCTGAAAACATATTGTTTTCAATAATAATACTTTTAAATGGTAGAGATGAAAATGCAAATCAATGCAGGAAGCTTTTACACCTGAAGGTCCACATCTCTAGCTTGAAACACTATAAAAAATACACATTAAAAAAAATCTATTTCTGCAAAATAAGCACAGGAATCAGGAAATGTAAAACTAGGAGTATGAGACCTTAGCTCTGTTGTTGTCTGCACATACCTACTGCATATTGCTAACATCTCTGCTCTTAAACATTTTGACAAATATCAACATTACCTTCCTGGTGAGTCACCATTCTCATCAAACAAGATCATGTCCCCAGAGACCCCAGTAAAGTTTGTCTTCATGAGGGATTCCAGGAGTTTCCGACCATCTATGGGCTTCATGGCATCACAGAGGCCCACGTAGCCTGGGCACAAGGACAGCTGCATGTTGTGGAGCCCATAGGCCATGGAGTATATTGCATTGATTACAAAGCCCATCTTGGAGTCCTGAACATGCTGCGTCCTCAGAGTCATCTGGCCTGTCAGGGAACAAGCAGAAGGTTTAGTGAATAGGACTGGGATGAACCCAGATCTTCAGACATCTGCTGGTGGCTTAATTATTAACAGTGGGAAAAGTACTTTAAACGTCTTAAATAGGTCATAAAAGATGTTTTTATTGGTACACATGCTGACAATGTTAGAATAAAAATAAACAAATGAAAAGATGTTTTCTTTAAATATTGTATTATCCAGATGATATATTTCTCTCTGCAGCTCATCAGCTCACCTCACATTTGCTGGATTTAAAATGCCACTCTTTCATATGTATCTTTAAAGCATGCACCATGCACATTATAACACAATATTTTAGGGAACTCAGAAACTTCTCTCAACCAGCAGAAATTTCTTCAAACATTCAGAAATATTGAAGTGTAAATGCTAATAAGAGGCTAACTCTCTACAAACCTTATAAAAAAGTTCCACTTCTGGAAAATCAGTGAGCTCTGTTGCCCAGAGAAGTTGTCAGTGCCCCATCTGTGGCAGTGTTCAAGGCCAGGCTGGGTCTCTGAGCAGCCTAGTTTGGTGGAAGGTGTCCTTGCTCATGGCAGAGGAATTGGAGCTACATTATCTTTAAGGTCTCTTCCAATCCAAGCCATTCTATAATTCTATGCAAACACTTTTGTTTCAGAGACATGGAGATAATCTTGTGCAAATAGACTGACCTAGGCACCACTCCTTTACTGTACCAAAAGTTCCCCCTAATAACTCTCCTATTCTTCATCTCTTCTCTCTCTTTATGAAGTGAGGATAACAATGCAATACAGACAAATACATTAAAATCTGTGAAGAGTTTGACAGTGTGGGTTAGGAAATTACTCTGTTTAGCCAGAATTGGTGAATCTTAAATTTTTTGGCTTTCAAAGCATGATGGTTGCATTTCTAGTCTCTATTTATGCTTCTGTAAAATGCACAGAAAAAAATTAATTCAGCAGGACCTTGAATCCCTTTATTTTTTATAGCACACTGTTATTACTAACACAGCTTTTCTCTGTTGACAGCACCAGGCAAACTAAGGAAGGGTAGGTTGGAGTTTTTCTTCATATCTGCACTCTAGTCACAAGATCTTTAATAATGGGGAAAAGAGTCAGGGACAAAACAACTACATCAATGGCGCTGGATGTTTATCTAACACCTAGAAAGATTTGTCTCTGGTGGCAGGACAAACAAAAGCTCTGTTAGAATATTTGCTCTGCTTTTATCAACCAAGCAATGACCCTAGGAGCTATGGAGTCCCCTCTGTGGGCATCCCAGAGTAAAGGGAATGCAAATAACCTGTCCACTCCATGAGAGTCTGCTTGCCACAGAGGCATTAGTGAGAGGCAGGGATAGTGCTCACACCTGCCCATCTGAGTTGCAGAGGCCACAATCTGAGAAGTATTTTATGCTGTGAGGAAATTGAGGTACAGGCAATCCTTTTCTTTAAAGAAATTAAGACTAATATATGGACTCTCAGGGTGGCACTCATCCAGTTTGAAAATATCCATCCAGAAGACCAGAAACCATTCCAACCTTTGTTGGAAAAGGGTAAGAATCTCCAGCTGGTGATCAATTCTCTCATAAAGCAGGTATGACTACATACAAGCACACCTTTTCAGTTGTGAACAAGAACATCACCTCACAGCTCTAATCACTAAAATCTATTGCAGCACTGGGAACACTAGGAAGGGTAATAAAACACATAGTTTGAACTGAAAAACAGTGTGTAGAGGTCAGAAAGTAAATGAGAGAATTGAAAGATTCCTTTTTCCCCTCTGTTTTATGTGGAAGCTGGCATCACCATTTCCAGTCTTCTCTGGAGCAGTATGACCACTGCTCAGGAGCAGTGATTATTAACATTTTGGAAGGCTAAACAATACAAACTTGAAGTATGTTAATGAAAAAAAATAAACTTGGAAAAACATACAGTGCTGCTTATTTGTTTTGTTCTACCAAGGTATTTCTTTTCCCTAATTAAAAATAATAGGCATGAAAACTGCAACAGTGGAGTACATGTAAAACCCATATTAATTGAAATTAAGTGGAAAATTGAGCAAGTGTATTACACTGCAATACATAAAACTTGTTTTAACCAATTATTCATCCACAAAATTAGCACCTTACACACCATGCAGTTAATTATAGTACCCATTAGAATGAATCAGATTTTCATTGGCAATATTATTTATCATAAAACAATACTTCGGCTGCTTTATTGCATATGATTGCTTAAAAATCTAATAACTTACTTCTTAATTCTTACTCTCCACTGGGCTTTGTGCTTCAGTTTTATGAAATTATTATTCTGATTTTCTTTAAACACTGAACCTCATCCCGTTCACCTGATGATTTATAATAAGCCTGCTTAGCTCTTCCTAGAAGCTGCTGGCAATTGGCAATGGAGTTGTGAGGGATTTAGCTGCTGTGAGAATTTCAATATACTTCCTGCAGCTGGAGAACACATTCACCCGAGATATTAAGTGACTCACTTGGCTGTATAGGGGCAAATTCAACCTGTCAAGGCCAGTTTATAGTACCACAAGAATGTGTATTTAAGGGAAAATCACAAAAACTAAGACAAAAGATTTTTTTTTCTCTTTTTACTATATTGTAACAAAGCCTTAAAAAATGGCAACATTATATAAAAAAAAAATCAAAACCAAGTCTAAAAGTTACTTTCAACCCATTTCACAAAGTATTTTGGCATGTCAGACTTGATGCATATAAGTATTTACTTACTTACTCCAGTACCCCTAGCAGTGGTTTTAAGGGAAGGCTGAGTACACAAGCTAAAAGGCTAAAAGGTAATCTCTCACTCAACAACAAAAAACAAAAAAAGTAAAAATATTTTAAATCTATCTCGCAACATTTATGATTTAGGTAGCCTTAAACACATTATTCACTCAAGAATTCTTGCATATTTTTCTTGCTGGAACTCTAGCACATATTCTTACCCTTATTACTCATCCATGAGTGCTGTCTTCAGTCAAGAACAGTTCCTGACATGGAAAGGTGGCACAGATGAATTTAATGGGGATGATAGTGTTTGGAATATATCAATCTACTTATGAATGTATGCTGAATTTTTAAAACTTAGTGATAGGACAAAGGGGAATGGCTTTAAATGGAAAGAGGTCAGGTTTAGAGGAAGAAATTGAAAGTGGTAAATCACTGGAACAAATTGCCCAGATTAGCTGCGAATTCTCCATTCCTGGAAATGTTCAAGCCATGCTGGATGGGGCTTTGGTCTAGTGGAAAATGTCCCTGCTCATGGCAGGGAGACTAAAACTACTTTATGGTCCTTTCCTTTCCAATCCAAACCATTCTATTCCACGATTCTATTGTATGATTAACTGAATGGAGATGGCCCAGCACTAAACTCCTCATCCAAATTTGTTCTTTTCTGTTGTCAAGTCTCCAAAGCACAGAAATATGTAGATGATGAAAAAGGAACATATTCTTTCACCAAGAAAGTGATTCCAACTAGCAATGGTTCATTTCTTGGATCTATTTAGAAACAATTAGTGTACTTATGGGCAGTGATCCAAGAAAGCACTTATGGATGCTGTTAGTCCCTGTGCATGGTGAGCTAGCTCTGGACTGCTTCCCACGCTCCAGAGATACTCCAGCAGCTCCCAGAACAGGTGCCTGGCTACCAGTGAGATTAATAAAATACTTCTTCTAAGAATGACTCCCTTCATCCAAATATGGAAAAACAAAACAAAACTAAACAAACCTACATCTTTGCAGCAAATTCTGAAATTTGGCTACTGTTTATAGTACTGAGCATGAAATAAGAATTCTTCAATAGATTTCATTATTTTACAGATTTTGTATGTAAAACTCCTCTTCTTTTTTTCCATGTTTTTACCCTCAAGGAAGATTAAATACTTGCCAACTTGTGATGCTACATCAAGCAAGGATATTAAAGAGTGCAAAATCATTATGGTTCAATATTCTTTTTCTGCTTTTTAACTTTTCCAAAGATGACAATACTTTGCATTTTAAAGAATTAATAAAGGGTAAAATGAAGACTGAAAATACTTTGCGTTCTGGGAAATCCCTCAACCCCTGAGGAGAAACAGGAGAACAAAATAGAGACACAATATTGGAGAATATTTTTTTTTCAAAGAGAAGAGCAATTTGTTTACTTTGCAATTAGTTTAGCACTGAAATGAAGGGAAATTCTTAGTGTTTATTAGTAGTAGTATTATTATTACTATTATTTTAAAACTCAGTGATCAAAAGGTTGTTTGTTACAAAGTCATAAGAGACATTACAGTGGAAACCACAGGTATATCCTATAGTTTCCAATTATTTCCTAATGTTTCTCCATGATTATATCACAATTTAGTTTCTGTACAATTTCTATAAATATGCCATTAAAATATTTGGTGATTCTTTGTGCTAAGTTTTGTTTTAAGGGACAAAGGGCTGACAGAAATGAGCTCTAATTTTGCTGGCAAATATGTCCCACATTCACATTCTGCTCATCGTACTTGAAGTCCATCAATGTGTTTTCTTATAATTTCTTTCCTTTGCCTTAGTGAATTAGAAAAAATCAGGACAACAGGCTAATATTTTCAACAAAACCATGGTAGTGTCTGTCTTCTTCAGGATATAGTGTGTGGCTTTTTAGCTCCATCAGCAGGTCCATCTTGTCCCTGTTGTACTCCCTGGGAACACGTGTTACTTTGCCTGGATCTGTATGCTCTGGATAACATGTCACCAAGTCACTCATCCCAGAAACATGCACTGAAGAAATGTGTGGTATCTTGTAAAACAGAGGAAAAGTTGTACACAAGAACTATATTGTTCATATCTAGTTAAATTGGCCTTGTTTAAAGATATAGAAAAAACCCTGATTTTGGAAACTTTTCTAAAGTCTGTTATCACAGCTTTCTAGCAAAGAAATGTGAAATGATAAAGTAACTTTCAGTTCCGTATACTTTGTAAGGTTATGGGTGTATTTTTCTACTAAAAAAAAATTGATTGCAGTAGT